TGGCGCATGCCTGTAGTCCCAGCTACTCGGGAGGCTGAGGCAGAAGGATCGCTTGAGCCCAGGAGTGTGAGGTTGCTGTGAACTAGGCTGACCCCATGGCACTCACTCTAGCCCGGGCAAAAGAGTGAGACTCTGTCTCAAAAAAAAAAATAAAAATGAGATTTTATATTTTTTTCATATTAAGTCTTTGAAATCTGGTGTGTGTTTTACATTTACAGTACATCTCAATTCAGATTAGCCACATTTCAAGTGCTTAATAGCCACATGTGGCTACTGGACAGTGCAGCTCTAGTTAACTTCACTGATTTCCAGACCTCTGTATCTCCATTTGAATGTCTAATATATGTCTCAGAATTAATGTGTTTCTCGCAATTCATATCCATTCCAACAAAAACAAATCCTTTCAGTTCGAACCTCAATAGATCCAGGATCTAATCAGTTCTTATCTCCTCTGCTGCAGTCACTGTGATCCTGACCATCACTGTCTCTTGCCTAGATTATTACAGTAGCTTCCTGACTGGTTAGATATCCACGTGACTCTCTTCCTCTCCTCCTTCAGTTTTTTCAAGTCTCACCTTATCAGAGAAGTGTTCCTTGACTACCTTGTTTAAAGTGCAAACCTGGCTGGGCACAGTGGCTCATGCCTGTAATCCCAGCACTTTGGAAGGCCAGGGTGGGAGGATCACTTGAGACCAAGAGATTTGAGACCAGCCTGGGCAACAAAGCGAGACACATCTGTGCAAAAAATTTAAAAAATTAGCTGGGTGTGGTGGCGTGTACCTGTAGTCCTAGCTACTTGGGAGGTTGAGCCAGGAGGATTGCTTGAGCTCAGGAGTTTGAGGTTACAATGAGCTATGATGACGCCACTGCATTCTAGCCGAGGCAACAGAGTGAGACCCTGTCTCAAATAATAAAAAGTGAAAAACTCTTCTCCTTACACATATAAATACATACCCATGTGAATCAGTATTCCCTTATCCCTTCAGTGCTTTATTTATTTATTGTTTCAGGGTTTTTGTTTTAGTGACAGTTTCAAACTCGTGGGCTCAAATGATCCTCCCACCTTGGACTCCCTAGTAACTGGGACTACAGGCACATGCCACCATGCCCAGCTTAGTTTTTAAGGTAGCCTGTCACCAGTTCTCTTTGTTCAAAGAAGGTTTGATAGGAATTCTTACAGGATATATCTTTAGCCTTTTCAGTTCTTTTTATGGTCGATTCTCTGTTCACCTGTTTCTGAGTCTTTTTAAAAATTTGTTTTCCTAGAAAATTGCCTATTTTTTGTTAAGTTTTCAAGTTATCCATCAAGGGTGTGTGTGACAATCTTAGTTTTTAGAAGTACTTCTTAATCTCTTGTTAAAATGCTCCTTTTCTCATTACTAATTTCTGTTTTAGTCCTCTCTTAGATTTGTCTGGTATTTATCTACTTCTACTAGTCTTTTAAAAGAATAGTTCTTGATCTTAGGTACCATTTTTACTGTTTTTAAATTGGTCACTTCTGTTTTTGTCTTAACTAATTTTATCCTCAACCCTTTTGGTTTATTTTTAGTTCTTTTCTAGATTCTTGAGTTGATGGCTTAATTCCAGTTTTATTTAATAACAAGCCTCTAAATTTATGGCTTCTTTTGGTGATAACTTTGACCATGTCCCATAGGTTTTGGTAGTCTTTGTTCTTATTGTCGTTAATTTTTTTCAATTATCAAAATCCTCGCTGCTCACGCAGTACCAAAGTCAGGATTCAAAGCTAGATAGGCTGTCTGCATGGAATGAGATCTGCTTTATAATGTGTTCTCATAGTATTATAGAACAGAGTGAACTTAGATGATTTTTTCAGGATTTTTTATTGAAATAGTTCATTGAGAATTAAAGTCAACTTTTTTTTTTTTCCAAGCTCACCAGGAACCTTTCTAACACCTGATCACCAGACTTCCATTGAAGACACCTCAGCTTTTTATAAGTATGGACAGTAAAGATAAGTAGGGATGAGAGGCTCAAATGATTTTGTGAGTTGGCTGGACATTTTTTCTGTTGGTCTCCTTTGGGACTGTTCATGTGTCCATTGGAGTGTCTTAGTTGCCTTTTAGTGACTAGCTTGGGCTTCCTCATCTAAAGAGCTTTATTGAGGTATATTTTACTCATTTCAATGATTTTTTAGTAACTTTATCAAGTGGTGCAACCATCACATAAAACCATAAATCAGTTTTAGAACATTTATATCACCCAAATAAGATCCCTCATGCCCATTTATAGTTAATTTCTCCTCCAACCCCCTGCTCCTCCATCCCAGGCAGCCACTAATCTACTTTTTCTATAAATTTGCTTTTTCTGGACATTTTATTTAAATGGAATCATACAGTATGTAACCTCTTTTGTCTGGCTTCTTTCATTCAACATAATGTTTTTGAGATTAATCTATAAGGTAACGTGTCAGTAGTTCCTTTTTATTGCTGAAAAATACTGTATGTATATACCATGTCATTGGTTTTTAATAATTGTACAATTTGTTTTTAAAATATTTTTGATCTAGATTTGACATAAATAGGGTCACATTATAGTCTTTAAGATTCTGTTTTTTTAGTTTTTGACTTTTTTTAGTGACCTAACACATTGGTGGTTTCTTAGATGTTCCTTAGAAATTTTAAAAGAATGCCTTTGTTCTCTATGTCACTGTCAATTCATGCTTTTTTAAAAGTTACTCATATGTTCTACCAGTTTTATTATTTATTAGCCCTCTGATACCAGAATCTTTGACTATAACTGCTGCTTTATCCCATTCTTGTATTTCTAATAGTTTTTTAAAAATATAATGTCAAGTATAATAATAGTTCAATATTTATACCTTTTCTAGACTATATAACCTTGAGTGATGCAGGCCACTGCAGTGGTGGAGACAGCTTCTGGTGAAAGCTACCACAGTAATGGAGGAAGCCTCCAAAAAGGTGAGGGTCCAGGTCAGTTGTCTTTATTCTGGGTGGGAAGAGGTGATAAACATAATTGTGTCAAACAGTTCCCCCTCCAGTGTTGGTACTTTTTAAGCCTTCCTCCCATGAGGTAGTAAGATTCAGTGTCTTTTTAACTGGGCAAATTCACTGCGATGATTTTTGGTGGATATGAGCAGTCTAGGCAAGATCTTTTAAGGAAATGGAAGATTTAGGGAGGGGAAGGTAAGCAGGAAGCAGGGTCTCTGTCCAGCCAGGCTTTCCAGAACTGTTGACAGGTACAGTTGCATTTGGGGTAATAGGTGGAAAGGGGGCGGGTTGACTTCTGCTGACTAACAAGTTATATATGTTTTTTTCTTCCCATAAATCTGAAACTTCTTTTTGGTAATGGTAGAAAGAAAATAAGAAATAGCAAGAACATAAAAAGCAAGTGACTAAACTTTATGTGCCCATGAATATATGTGGCTTAA